GATCAAAAAAATATCTCTAGCAGTGTCCTCTCAGGCAAAAATCACCCACATTAAGAACAATGGTAATTGAATGTCATCCCTAGTGCCTGGGTGAGCATGTGTGAGGCCCTGGATTCCAACCCCAGAACCAAGGGAAAAAAAGTAGTGCCTATGTGAAAAGTTTTCAGATGGTGAAAACTTTGAGAAACAGTAGTCTCACTAAATCCCAAAGACAGAATTCAAAGTTGTGATGTACCACTTATTTAATTTCATTTAGATGCACTTACTTCTTAAAAAGTGTGCATATGGGGAGACATGAAAGGAGAAAAGAGGGAAGCAATTCCAACATGGACCATTTGGCCTTCCAATTCCCGGATTTTACAAGAACTCCTAATCTCTGGATCACCTCCTATGCCTCATTTGGGTTTTGACTCTTCTTTATGACTGATTCCTAGGCGAATTTCTTTTTTTTTTTTCCTTTTTCTTTTATTATTCATATGTGCATACAAGGCTTGGTTCATTTCTCCCCTCTGCCCCCACCCCCTCCCTTACCATCCACTCCGCCCCCTCCCTCTCCCCCCCACCCCCTCGATACCCAGCAGAAACTATTTTGCCCTTATTTCTAATTTTGTTGTAGAGAGAGTATAAGCAATAATAGGAAGGAACAAGGGTTTTTGCTGGTTGAGATAAGGATAGCTATACAGGGAGTTGACTCACATTGATTTCCTGCGCATGGGTGTTACCTTCTAGGTTAAATCTTTTTGATCTAACTTTTTCTCTAGTACCTGTTCCCCTTTTCCTATTGGCCTCAGTTGCTTTTAAGGTATCTGCTTTAGTTTCTCTGCATTAAGGGCAACAAATGCTAGCTAATTTTTTAGGTGTCTTACCTATCCTCACCCCTCCCTTGTGTGCTCTCGCTTTTATCATGTGCTCATAGTCTAATCTCATTGTTGTGTTTGCCCTTGATCTAATGTCCACATATGAGGGAGAACATACGATTTTTGGTCTTTTGGGCCAGGCTAACCTCACTCAGAATGATGTTCTCCAATTCCATCCATTTACCAGCAAATGATAACATTTCGTTCTTCTTCATGGCTGCATAAAATTCCATTGTGTATAGATACCACATTTTCTTAATCCATTCGTCAGTGGTGGGGCATCTTGGCTGTTTCCATAACTTGGCTATTGTGAATAGTGCCGCAATAAACATGGGTGTGCAGGTGTCTAGGCAAATGTCTTTCTGCCTAGTGGCATTTGCCTGACTAAATCTCAGTTAATGCAACGTATGTATTGGGATGCTGTTAAGTTGACAAATTCACTTAGGGAAAGTTGACAGGTCTGTCTGGGATGCTATCTTTCTGTCTAAGAAGGTGGTTTTTCCTTGGGGTCAAATCTTCATCTCTCCCTCCACTCAGTTTCAAAGTCTCATCTAGCACTTATTTTTTCAATTTGTTGAATTTATTCCTAAGTATTGCATCCTCTGTGTGACTGATGTGAATGCTGCTGCTGTGTGAATCCAAAAAGTTAATATGTGCCATAATTAGGGCCATCCTTGGCATACGGTAAATGCCATAAAGGTGCTTGCTATGACCATCATGCTTAGTTTCTTCTACTGTATCCTCTACCTGACAATTGTTTGAATGTGGGCCATGCCTGTTCTGTTGAGGTTTCTTCCCAACTCTTGTTCAGGTGAAAATGGACAACAGAATTGGATCTTAGAGTCATCATGTTAACAAGAGCAACCAGCTCTTAGCTCTTTTACAGGTGCCTTCCCCCACTCATCTCCACCTCCAGAACTAGGGTTTCCTCCTTATTGGCCCATCTTCCCCAGAGGTTGAGGCCTTTGATGCTAAAACCCAATCATGACAAGGATATAATTGTTGCCACATGTGTTCCATCTAGCTTAAGAAAACAAAATTCAACATCCCTAGAGATGGGGGTAAATCATACAGTCCAATACAAAACTGTTTGCTGCTCACTATTCAGAAAGATGTTGAAGGTTGTTCTCTGTGTATCAGTGAGTGAGGCAGATAACAAACTGCTCCAAAATTCAGTATCTTGAAATAACAACTGTTTCATTTTTTCATGCATATACAGGTCTGCTGGGTTGTTCTGCTGATCTGGGCTAGCCATGAGCTGCCCTTACTCACAAACCTTGGTCAGCTGGAGGGGGAGTTAGAGACTGACTTGGTCACTTGTCTGGCAGGTGTAGGCTGTCATCTGGGGCAGTGACAGCCTACACCTGCCAGACAAGTGAAGGGCTATGTATCTGTCATCAACAAGAAGGCTAACTTAGGTTCATTGCCATGGTGCAACCAAAAGACAGCAGAAATGTACAGGGCTTTTAAGACATGCCGGGAACGTTCATATGCTCACCTTATACCACACAGTGGTGGCCAGAGCAAGACATGAAGCCAGCCTGGATTTAAGAGGTAGGAGATAGACCCATCCTCTTGATGAATAGGGCTACAAAGTCATATTACAAAGGGTGTAAATACAGAGAATTATGAAAAGTGGGGTTCTAATCAATCTACCACCCTCCCTACACCAAGGTGAGGATGCTTACCACTATTTCATTGTAGCAAAGATTGCTTCATCTCAATAGCAGCCTCCAGGTGGACTAGAGCAGGAAAAGCTCCCTGTGTGGTCCATATTACCCATTTGTCCTGAGTCACATCAGTTGTACTTTCAGAAGATGCCATTTCTTGACACTGAGCCCAAATCTGCATCAAAGTGTGTGATCCTCCACGCCATTTGTAGAGCTGATCCATTTTCCTCTCTGTCCTGGTTTGGGAAAGCCGTCGCTTGATTTGGCAGAGTTTTTCAGTGGATTAGATTTACCAAGAAGCTGAGGACAACTCCCAGCTAGTGGTTGAATACATCTGTGTTCACTTATCGACTCAATCAATCACAGGCTAATTAACTCCCAGTCCTGTTAGAAGCGATTCAAAATGTCACTTCTCACTGTCAGGAGGAGACAGACCTTGGAGGTAATCCAGTCATCTCTCTTCCTTCTGATTTCTCCACCTCAAATACTGAATCAGGACTGTGGCCTCTTGGCAGCCACACAGGGACAGACTTTTTGTCTTCTCCCTCCAGAGAATTAGCCCGGCTGTGGAGAAGGTAGAGGCTGTACACCTGTCCCTTGCCTCCCACACAGCATGGCTGCTCTCCCCTCCACCTGCGCATCCTGATAATGGAAACACAGCAGTCCACACCCCACTACCTCGAGTAAGAGTGGAGGAAGCAACCTAGCTTGAGGAAGATAGGAGGGAGGGCACTCAAAGAAGACAAGAAAAGGGAAAGAGAGAAGATAAAAAGACTAAGCACATGGCTTGAACAGAAGAGCAAAACCCTTGCTGTTGGTAACAAACTACAAAGTGGCAATAATCACTGTGTTTAAATTATTATTCACTGTATGTTTTACTTGATCATATTAGACTTTCTTCCTATATCTGGTGCTTCCTTGCACAGGTGAAATGTCATAATATATTATGTTTATTAGGATTCTAGTATGATCCAATTGGATAAAAAAGAAGAAATTATGCACCTATACACACATATACTTTTACACATATATATTTTTACATACCCTGGATAAAAATACATGTTTTATGCTTTGAATTTCTATATATATATGTAAATATGTATGTGATATGTCTTTCTTTTGGCAGTATTCTGGGTTGAACTCGGAGCTTTAAGCTTGCTAGGCAGGTACAGTACTTCTTGAGCCTGTGGCCCTTTTTGCTCTGGTTATTTTTTAGATAAGGTCAAATCTTTTTTGCCTAGTTGGCCTGGACCTCAATCCTCCTATTTGCGCTTCCCAGCATATCTGGGGATGGTAGGCATGTACCACTGTACCCAGACATGGGTTGAGATGGGATCTTATGAGCTTGTCCCTCTGGACTGGCCTAGAACCATGACCCTCCTTTTGCTTCCCAAGTAGCTAGGATTATAGGCGTGAACCACAGCACCGGACTATGATATGCCTTTTGTAGCTAAGTATAAACCTGTATGTACACTTATATTTTCACTGAAAATAATATATAAGAATGGAATCATAGTGATTACTGCTAGAGAGATTTTTTTTTTCATTTTCCTTTCCATGTTCTTTGAGGTTTTTTCCAGTGAACATGTACTACTTTTCAGCTTCCTAAAAAAGCAACTCACTTGTAAATTTTAAGAAAATTCTTCTGGCTTTTTTTACTTTGCTATACCCAGCCCCAGTTTACACTGTAAATCCAGGTCTTTTTTTGCTGGTACTTGGTTTTGAACTCAGGGCTTTGCATTGTGAGGCAGGTGCTGTCCCTCTTGAGCCATGCCTGCAGCCCTTTTTACTCGTATTATTTTGGAGATAGGATTTTGCTTTTTGCCCAGGCCTCCTGGATCAGGATCCTCCTATTTTATTCTTTCCATAGTAGCTGAGATGACAAATTCACACTTCCATGTCTAGCTAATGGTTGAGAAGCAGTCTCATGAACTCTCTGCACAAGCTGGTCTTGAACCGCAGTCCTCCCAATCTTGGCCTCCCAAGCAGCTAGGATTAAAGGCATGAGCCACTTGCATTTAGCTTGACTTTTGTTTTTGTACTGGGGCTTGAACTCAGGGCATTGAGCCACTCTACCAGCCCTTTTTGTGTGATGGATTTTTTCAAGATAGGGTCTCGCAAACTATTTGCCTGGGCTGTCTTTGAACCATGATTCTCCTGATCTCTGCCTCCTGAGTAGCTAGGATTACAGGTGAGAGCCACCAGTGTCCAGCTTGCTTGCCTTTTTATAGTGGGTCATTCCTGAAAAAAACCCACTCCACCCCACCAGAAGGATAAGTTTTCTAACCAATATAAAAAGTGAATCTCATCATTTGGTTTACTTGCTGAAAAAGCCCAAATCTTGACCCTCCCCAATCCAAGACATTACCTAGAATGGAACACTGCCTCCTACTCCAGACCAGGGCCAACTTCCCATGCAGCCCCTGGCTCCTGGGTATTCCACTAAGTGTCACAATTTCCTTTGCTCTCCCAGGGTCGCGGGGGCAAAGGCAGCATCTACGTGTGGGCCTCTGGGGATGGTGGCAGCTATGATGACTGCAATTGTGATGGCTATGCCTCAAGCATGTGGACTATCTCCATCAACTCAGCCATCAACGACGGCAGGACCGCCCTGTATGATGAGAGCTGCTCCTCCACCTTGGCATCCACCTTCAGCAATGGGAGGAAAAGGAACCCTGAGGCCGGTGTGGTGAGTGTGGGCCACTCCTTTTCTTTGTTTCCTTATGGTCAGGACCCGTCTATGAAAGGATGGGATATGCCAACTCCTTCTCCTCAGCGTCAGAATATCCATTGTCTACATGCCTCATTATGTTTTGTTATCAAGGTAGAGCCTTGCCTTCTACAGATCAGAAGCAAGAATCATGGTGAGCCTTTCCAGCTCATTTTCCATAGATTTTCTTGCTTATTGTTTTGGCCTACAAATAATGACGAACTCCAGTTCATCAGTAAGTTATCCTGGCCCACTACTTGTAAGAATGAGTATTTGTAAGAACTGAGGCACCACACCACAACCTGATCTAAGCTAAGAACCCATCCATGTAATATAATAATTAAGAAATAGCATTTGACTGAGATATAGCTCAGTAGCAGAGCACTTGCCTAGCATTTGTGAGGCCCTAGGTTTGACCCCTAGCATTACAAAAAAAAAAAAAAACAGTATCCAGGGATAGACTGTTCCTTAAATTGAGCACACATGTGTTTTTTCTCAGGGAAAGAGTTGTGATTTTCATCATATTTTAAAACAAATCCATGATTTAAAAAACAAAAATTAAGAATTGCAGATATAGGTTATTTTTTGCTCTCTTCTGAGCAAAGTCTTCCCTCCTGGGCAACTAGGTATGATGGTAAACTTTTCAATCTTCTTAGAAATATATCATCTGTAGAGCACAATTAGTCTTCTGAGATCTTTTCCTATCCCTGGTTATTTTGTTGATATACCATTCTTTCCTCAGACCTCCAAGTCAGGAATTTGGTCTATGATTCAACAGATGAGTCACATCTATTGGCCACCCACCACCAGCTTCCCAAGAGAGGGAAGGATGAGAGCTCAGAACAAAACCATTATTAAAGTCTAGGGTTTCTAACCCACATTATCCTCTGGGCTCTCATCTTAGCAAGATGGCCAGGCTCCTGTTTGCGCCAGAAGAAGCCCTTTACCTAAAAGAAACATAGCCTTTAACAGTCTGCCTTGACTCTCCTGGGGTGCCTCTTGGTCTTGGGAAGGATGCAGAAGATGCCAGCTCCTCCCAAGTAGAAAGAGTCATCAGCCCTTCTTGTCCCATCCAGAGCACAGGAAGCAGTCTCAGTCTTATTCTATTTGTGAAACCCCAATCTCCCATTTGGAAGCTCCATTTCTACCCAAGGGTCCCCCAATGACTTTGCCATCAACCCTATCTATGACTTTCTATTTGAGTGGAGGAAGAGGTTTCAATTTCTGTTGAATATTTTAATTTTACCCAAAAGATGCCTTTAACCTTCCTAATCCTTTTTTGATTATTGTGCTGGGAGTATATTGTGGTATTTACAAAAGTTCTTATAATATATCAAATATATTATAGCTGAGTTCACCCCCTCCATCATTCTCCTTTATCCCCCCACCCATTCGTTCTGGGAATAGTTTCAACAGGACTCGTTTTTCCATTTACATGCATAGGTGCACAGTATTTGCACCATATTCACCCTCTAATCCTGTATTCCTCAAAAGAATAGGCTCTCTTGAGAAGACTATAGAGAGAGAATTCCTATGGTTTATATATAATCATAATGAAAATGCTGGCTCTCGCAAACATTGAAAATGAATTTTTCTCTTTTTAAAGTCTTTTAAAACTTAGTTTATCAATTTCTCCATAAATAAGAGTTGTGGAAGTGACTAGCCACATATCAAGTTGTCTTGTCTTTACATGTCTTAGAATCTCTTCACAAATTTAGATATAGAAGAATATTTATTTTGGGTAACCTGCCCTTCTAGGCAGGCTTTAGAGGATCATGTTTATTCTTCTCTCTTTGGGAACACCACCCTTTCCTTCTGGAAGGAAAAGAAATGCCGGTGCAATGGCCCAAGAGCCAGTTCCAGTGCAACAAAACCCACTATTGCCTAGACTGGGTGGTAGGATTGACTTATCACTTTTCATCTCATAGTGTTTCACTTTTAGATTCAAGAATTAACTGTCTCTCTGGTCTCTGGAATAGCCACACATATGCTTCTTTAAACAACCGACTTACCTTGCAGCCACTATAACAACAACTAATTATATGTCCCTTTTTACATGGGTTGCTAGAAAGCTTAGATAAAATTTATGGCAAAAGAGATAGGCATATGAATGCTAACCTTATCCTTGGTTTCATCTTACTCTCCAGATAATACTCTGATCCATTATTTGCAGATTCACATGCAGTGATTTATTCATTCATTACTCAATCTTTTCCCTTCCAGGCCACCACAGATTTGTATGGCAACTGCACTCTGAGGCATTCTGGGACATCTGCAGCTGCTCCCGAAGCAGCTGGAGTGTTTGCACTGGCTTTAGAGGCTAAGTATGTTACGGCTGTGGGCCTGGGGCCACTCTGAAGGGTGGGCGAACATGTGCCTCTCTACCTGCCTGTCAGGTGTCCATGGAGGCGGGAATGGATATGACAGCCTAGGACGTCAGGGCCGATGAACTCTGTTGGGCATTTCTAAGTGGCCCATGGGCCATAAATCACACACACACACACACACACACACACACACACCTCATAAAACTACATCCTTAACAGAGCAGAAGACTCTAACAGCAAACAGCACAAATCAGCAACTTACTCAAATACCAAATAGGACCACATAGGTATTTCTTTCTTCATGAAGTCCCCCTTGGCTACTTTACTCCAATAATACAGATAAATGAAGAAAAATCAAATTGACAAGCTGGGTATCCAGCAAGGCATTTCAGAATACTTGCAAACAGGATGCTCCTAATCAAGATTTGTTCACTTATAAAGTGAATTCACTTTTAACCCTGAAATAAGGTAGAGGAAGCCATGTAGTATAGATCAAGAAATGAGCTTTACTGGGAAGTCCTCCAAGTGACAAGTAAGAGATCATTCCCTACATTAGCATCTTATGAAAAAACCACATATTGATCCTGCAGGATTTGAGCATCAGTGGAGATCCACCTGCCACTCTACCTTTTCTTAGTGTAGGCAGAGGCCAGCCTTATGTTCAGGGAGTAAACACTGAAGACACTGTAACACTAGGCACATGGTGTGACTATAAATGCCAGCTGTGAGAGAAGCTGTCAAAGAATGCATCACCCAGCAACTCATGAGAAGCTGGAATCAGACTTCTGAGGAAGGGGAGTTGAGTTCCTATCCCTGTCAGCAGTTGCTAGGCAACTGCAGCTTCTAGCATCATCTTCAGGCAGTCCTGCCTATCTCTCTCCACATTTGCAGTGTATTTTCTAATTTACAAATAAGGTAAGAGTTGGTTCCTAGAATAGAAAGGGTCTTTGAAAGATTACCTAGTTCACCTCTCTGCCATCAAATAGGAAAGGCATAACCATTCTCCTTTTACAGATAAGACCCCAAATTGAGAGTGACTCTTCTCTTCAAACCAGTAAACTTAATCTTCTAACCAAAATCAGGTGAAAAATTTAGGATAACAAGAAAGGGATACTATTTCCAGGAAAGACTTGGTTCACGGTCCCCTGGGACTTTGGCAAGCAAAATGTCACTTGCCCAGGCTTTTACACATACAAAAGAACAACCTACATAAATCAAAGTGGTGGCAATGAGGCATGAGGCTGCTGGATTCCTAAAGAGATTGTCTGGCTCACTATTATCTTACCTGCAAAAATATCAGTTACAGTTATTCCCCCAAAAGGTTCAAATGACTTCTTGGGATTTTGTAGCCCTGCCTCAGGAATATCTTTTCTGTAGGAAAACTTTATTTTTTTAATTGGACGAGTGGTGATTTCAAAGTTTAAAACTAAAAATATGTTCATTGACATATTTTTAATTATCGTGGCCAATACTTTAATTGGGAAAGTGTCTATTCTCCTTTAGCTTACCTCAGTTCCCAGTATATGAGATAGATTTTATTGATAAAATAAACTCTGTTGAGAGCCCATTCCGTGCTAGGTACTAGACATCCATGATCTACATTTACACTGCAACAAACCCCTAAGGCTTTACCCCCATTTTCAAGCTCAGATTGCTAAAGTCACTTGTCCAAGTTCACATAGTTGGATTTAAACCCTAAGATTCTAGGTCTTCCTCAGGCCAACCTTTGGGTCTAAAAGAGGCAATGCCACCATGGAGTTTAAAAAAAAATAGCCAATGGGAATATACCATTCCCAGATAAATGTCCAGCCAAGGTTGAGAACCCCCATCTTAAACCAATGTTGTCTAATGTCAGGGTGCGGAGGAGGCATCTTACATGCACATTCTCAGCCACAACCTCCAAGATGCTGATTCAGAAGAACCGGGAACCCGTGCTTGTCATTAGTGCCAAGTGGTTCTGATTCAGGGGTGTTGGGGACCACAGTGAGGCCCTGTGGCTGGGCTCCCTCAGCTTCCTGAGCTCCTTGTATCATGAGAGTCCTCACTTTTTCAATATTGAGTTGTTATCTGAGCCTAGGCTAAAGACAGGGACCTCTCTTTGACATGCATGGAATTAGCACAGTGCCTGAATGTGGTAGACAGTCAAGGGCATTTGTTGAATCCCTTCATGTGCACTACCTTATCACATCTGTGCTGCATTTTCTCAATGATTATATGGAACATTCGAGAAGAGGGAAGAATATATCATGTTACTTGTCCTACAGCCACCAATGCAACAACCTTTATACTACAGACACTCTGCAAATTTATTTTTATTATTTAATAACTATCACCTGTGAATCTTGATCTGCTATATGAAGATTAAAGCTTAACATGGCTGGTGAAAAACAATTTTGCAGAACAGTGTATTCCACCAATTCTGAAACTGCTTAGGAGGCACAATTAGGAGGGACCCAGTTTTACTGTTCATATATATGCAAATGACTAACCAAATGATGTCACATTTATATTAGAAGTGAGAAGTGAGTTCTCTCTCTCTCTCTCTCTCTCTCTCTCTCTCTCTCTCTCTCTCTCTCTCTCTCTCTCTCTCTCTCTCTCTCTCTCTCTCTCTCTCTCTCTCTTTGACCAAATCTATGAAGAAATATTTGAGGGATTCTTCCCCAGGCATTAGGAAGCACAGCACATTTTCATGGCAAACATTAAAGATACTCTCCCTGCTAGCCCACCCAGAGGTCATTTATATCCTCCTTTGTTAACACTTCTGTGATTAATAAATTCAGAATCCTATTCCAGCAAAACATGAACCTTTTAGCTATAATCAACTTCAGGAAGTTTTACACCATTTTCTCAGGTCCTAGGGGACCATATGTGCCAGATTTGTTCTGAGCTTTCTCAAATAAGCATTGACCTTCCTTTGACCTTTCTCCTTAAAAGAAGATCTGAATTTCAAGAGCACATGGATTATTGGAACACTTTGGCTCTGATTCAGAGCTCCAAATCAGTGAACTTTGCATGCACTGAAATTTTACCAAATGAGTCATGTTGTTCCTGGTCCTTTGAATTGTTTGTCCTCTAAAGAGAACAGTAGTTTAGCACTTTGCAAATTATTTTTGACCAGATCCCACAGTGATAAATAAACTCTGCACTGCAACCCAATGCATACACACACAAAGATTTCGTGTAAAATACTAATATGAGAATATTACATGTACCACACTCTATTATTCTTTTCTATTCTATTCCATTTTAAAATGATAATCCCACCCACTAAATCACTGATTCTCAACCTTGGCTATTTATTGAAATTACCTGAGAAAAGTTAACAATTTCCTAAGACTGGGTATCACACCCAGAGATTATGATTAAATTGGTCTGAGATGTGGCCTGAGCAGGATTGTAAATACCCTCCAAAATATTTTAATGTGCAGCCCAGGTAGATTACATGTACAATAAGTTGACTTCCTAGCTCACAAATGAGTCATGACTTTCATTTTAAAACACCAACACGGAGTAATAATAGACACTAATTTCCAAAGACAATAGCATTTGTAAGCAGATCGCTTTGTTCGATGAACAGTGTGCCAAGGACTGTTCTGGACACTGAGGACACAAACATGTTAAAGATACTGTCTCTGCCCTTGAAGGACTAACAACCTCATTTTTAAAAATAGAATACACCATATAGCCAACCCCCAGGCCAAAACCCAGAATACCATCAGCACTCAGAAGCCTCCATAGGCCCTCTTCTGGTCATGACTCCCACTACTAACCAGTAGCCCAACTTTCATCATCATAAATTAGTTGTTCCTGTTTTTATACTTTAAACAAATAGAATCATACAGTATGTTCTCTGTATTAGTTCATTTTACCTTGCTATAACAAAATAACTGGTGCTAGTACTTAATAAAGAAAATAGTTTTTTAGCTCACAGTTTTGAAGTTTCAAAGTCCAAGATCGGGTGCCCCTCTCAGTTTGGCCTCTGCTGAGGACCCATCTGACTATGTCACATCATAGCAGATGCCATCATGGTAGACACACATGTGAGAAGAAGAGATCACATGGCTAAACAGGAAGCCAGAGAAAAGGGAGCGGCCACATTGCTCCTTTATAACAACCTTCTCAAAAACCAGGGTCCCAAGGCTGGGGACATGGCTCAAGCAGTAGAGCACCTGCATAGCAAGTGCAAACCCCAGTACCACCAAAAAAGAAAAAGAAGAAGATCCAGAGTCCCATGAGAACTACATTATCCCTCCAGAGAGCAGTGGGCTGAAAAACCCAATCACCTCCCACTAGGTTCCACCTCTTGAACATCACCATACTGAGAACAGAGCTTCCGCCACCTGAGCCCTTGTGGATATACTCAAACCCTAGCCCAAACCATAGCATTCTCCTCTCTGCTTGGCTTCTTTTCTTCAACAGTGTACTTGTAAGATTTGTCCCTTCATTCACATCGCTGTGTAGCACATTCTACAAGTTATGCCTCAGTGGTTTATTCATTCTATTATGGATGGAGAATTTGCAATTTGGGGCTTCAAGCATTCTAATATACATGCCTAGTGTACACATATGCTTCTGTCAGATACAAACTGGAATGGAATTTCTGGGCTGTGGATTAAGCATATGAAAAACCTTAGAAGATTCAGGCAAACAGTTTTCCATGGTGGTTACAATCATTTATATACATTTTAACAAAGTCCATGAATTCCAGTTCCACATTTTTGTCAACACTTGGTAGTGTCACTCTTTTTCCTTTTAGCCATTCCAATGTATGTTAGAATGCTCTTTTGAAATAAATGTTTTTAAAAAACAAGAATACTTTGTAACTGACATATACAATGGTTCTAGGTAGTGAATGGACACCCTTCCTTGTGCTGGGGGTTCACAGATGTTCCAAAATCTCCCAAGAGGTCTATGCCCTGGTTATTACTTACCTTTCTTGTTGTGTCTCTCTCCCTCTCTTGCCCTGCCTCTTGTCCTTCCTCTCATGCTCTCTGCTCTGATACCCAGTCTGGGTCTGACCTGGCGAGACATGCAGCATCTCACTGTGCTCACCTCCAAACGAAACCAACTTCACGATGAGGTCCATCAGTGGCGGCGGAATGGAGTTGGACTGGAGTTTAATCACCTCTTTGGCTATGGGGTCCTTGATGCTGGTGCCATGGTGAAAATGGCTAAAGACTGGAAAACTGTGCCTGAGAGATTCCACTGTGTGGGAGGCTCCGTGCAGGACCCTGAGTAAGTAGGGGCACTGGTTCTCCTGCTGCATGGGAAGATGTTCCGTAGATGGAGTCAAGACATTAGCGACACCATTCGATACCCTCTCTATGTCAGGGGCCTGCACTGGATTTGACTCAAGGACAAACAGCTTTAGGCAGAGTCGCAGAGTTGCACAACTCCAAGGGTGCCATTTACATAAACATAATTGTGTAACTCAGAACCCCTGCTTTTAGGTGTGAACTGTGGCTGTTTCATTGGTTTCTGCCACTTTTAAGTGCACAAATTGACCAGTGTAACCAGTGCTCAGATCAGTAAATGGAATATAACAAATGTCTCAGAAAGACCTTTATGTCCTCTTTCACAGTCATCTCCCCAAGGATAGCCACTGTTTTTACTTCCAACTCATAGATCATTTTCCCTGATCTATACTTAATATAAATGGACTCTATACTCTGCTATCTTATATCTAGATCCTCTTGTTTAGAATTATTTATGGTTGTGGGATTCATCCACAATTAGTGTGTACTAGTGTCTTATTCCAATTACTGAAGAGTGTTTCAGGGTGTGACTATATCACAATTTTGTTTAGTCATTTTATTTGTGGGACAATGGAAGTAGTTAATTTTATTCTGAGTGTGGCTGCTTGCCATGTGAAGGTTTTGAGCAAGGAATTTCCCCACATAAAACCTCTGATTTATCCAAGTATACCTACTTTCCTTCCCACTTCCTCTTCACAGCAAGAGACTTGATCAATAAGGTACCTTTTTATTTCATTTTTATCTTCATTGGTCCATCAGTAAGATGAAGGTAGCAATTCTTATTACTAAAATTGAGGTATTATGTATATATACCATGAAATTCACAGAACATAAGTGTATTTATTTGGGTTTCTGGGTTTTTTATATTTTATTGTTCTTGTTATTTTGTTAATATTTGTCATCATTTTGTTGTTGTTCAAAACAGGGTCTGTCTATGTAGCCCAAGCTGGCCTCATGATCCTCCTGACTCAGCCTCCTGGGTGCTGGAATTACAGGGATGCATCAACACACCCAGCTAATTCGAGTTTTGATAAATGTATACCAACTGGGTAGCAATCACCCAATCAAGAGATGGAACATTTCATCATACTAGAAAGATTCCTTGTGCTCCCTTCCAGTTGGTTCACACACCTCATAAGGAATAAGAGCCATAGTTCTTATTTCTCTCACCATAGATTAATCTTCCCAGTTCTTGGATTTACCTAGAATCACATGCTGTGGATGCTTTTGTTTCCAAATTGTTTTACTCCACATTAGATTTGTGAGAGTCATCCACTTTATCTCATGGAGTAATAACAGCCCTTCATTTTCTATGCTATGGATTCGATTCTGAGAATACACCTCTGTGGTTTACATCATTTAAATGGTGGTAAAAATCTGCATCCTCACCCCCTTTCAACCACCTCCTACTTCCACCTTACTTTTGCTGATGATTTGAGTTTAACCAGACCATGTCCAGTCTAAAAGGATATCCTCCCCTCCATTTCACCTTGATCTTGGATTCTCTGCAGCTCTTATAGTTACCCAGATCTGAGTTCAAATTTTGCCTTTGCCAACTGAAACAGTATTTTTCACCTTTCTGGCCCACTATTTTAGCAATTTTCAGCCTTGTGCCCTGACCCCCTATCACAGTATGAAATCTATGGACCCCATCTCAATATAATGTTTTTAAACTTATTAAATAAAATGCATAGGATTGCAAAGGAAGCCAATTATATTGAAAAGTAGTTACAGAATGTTTTTAAAAGCAAGTTTATGATAAAGTAATGCAAGTTCTTTTTTATCAACACATTAATTGAAAAGCTCTAGTGGTGAGTCCAATGTCCACAATACACTCAGAACCTTAATAATGAATAACATGCTATTTCAAAGCCAGACATGGTGGCTTTAATCTCAGCACTTGGGAGGCTGAGGCAGGAGAACTATGAATTTGGGTCCAGCCTGGACCACAGACAAGACTCTGTCTCAAAAAGTGAAAATGCTGCTGCAAGACTCGTGCAATGACTGTGATGAGGTATGAAAATCTCTGGGCTCTTTGACAAGGTTTGAGGAAGTGCTAATACTGTTCCACATTGTGACCTGATTCATGATTGAAACAGAAGCTAAGTTTCCATTATAGGTTAGCAAAAATTAAGATATGGGGTTTTTTTTCCATCAATGTTATTAGACTCCCTGAATTCTGTCTTAGGGCCCCAAAATAAGAGCCTATTCTCTCATTTCTCACCAGTACAATGGAGCTAAGTCTCTTTCCTCAATAGGCTTCTGGGAGACATTAGTGACACATACTATAAAACTGGTACATAGTAGGCACTTAATAAATGTAACTTTGCTTCTCCCTCTCATCCATGATTTTAATCACTCCTATCTAGTTCACACTTGTGGAAAAAAGAAAGATGATGATGTCTTAGAATTTTTGAAGAAAAAATTGCTTGGTTCTTATGTGAATTACAAATTGTGTATCCTTATGATCTAAAGCATCTTCTTGTGGACACAGATGCTCCCTTGATGCTCATCCTTCCATGAGCCAGCATCCTCCCTGGAGGAGCATCCTCACTGACTATTCACTGAGCTCATAGAAAATGGCATCAAATGCAGAGCTGTGTATTTGGCCAGTCTATGATCTCATACCAATCAGCACAACATAGGAAAGTAAGCTTCAGCCCAAGCCCTGTAGTAGTCAAAACACAGATGTGCACAAGCCCCAAGTGATTATAAATACCTATAATAAAAATAGCTACACAAGACTGAGAGTATAGATTAGTGGTTAAGTGCTTTCCTAGTATGCAAAAGCCCTGGGTTAGATTCCCAGCACTGGAAAAAAAAAAAAAAGCTACACTACAGAGTTCCCCACAGTTTTCCCAAAGCTGCTATGTCAATACATCTTTTCTGTTTACCTCCATACCCTTTATCTTGGTAGCATAGGCTTCTCTGAGATTCAAACAAATTGACTGACTTGGTCAAGGTCAAGGGACTGTAAGTTTGAGTGATGGAAGGAACTAAATTTTACTGAGCATCTTTGTACTTTGCATACACATCACATAAGTTTTATAGCCTTCCTGTTGTTGAGGGTACACCTTACTCTCACACACTCAGTGGGGAGGAGGGTGAGCATTTTGTTGAATTAAGAGCACACTGATCCTATGCTGTGACTCTGGTAAAAGCACCTACTATGTGTCTGGTATATGCCAGGCCTTTTACATACACGGCATTTAATCCATGTGAACCCATGAGGTGTGTCTATCATTCTTGCTTGTTATAGGTGAGGAACCTGAGATGCAGAGGGCACAAGGAATGTGTTCAAGGTCATGAAGGGCAGACATGATGAAGTAAGGCCCATCTGAGTCCAAATCCTAGGCTCTTTTCACTATATGACATTGACATTAATGACTCCTGTGTGCACTCAGGTCCTGCATTGGGGCGTGTTAAAGCAGCCCTGCTGTACGCTCAGTAGGGTTGGCACAGGTGAGGAGAGAAGGCTGGAGAAGCTTGAGTGGATACTGCTGTTCACTCAACTGACTGCCTGAGGTGGGATTTGAGCCCAGGAACTCTGTATCTCAGTGTGTCTTAGTGAATGATTCTACAATGGGGGAAGTGAGGCCTGTGGTGGGGGTGGGAGGGGTGTCACAATAAGTGTTCCTCTGAGGACTTTAAAACACCCACCTAATGAATGGACCCCCTTCTTATAATCCACAGCTGTATATGGACCCCCTTCTTATAATCCACAGCTGTCATTCCAGTGGCTCTGTCACTCCTTTGGGAGTAACTAAACAGATACCACTAGGAACCACTGACCACGTGGAAGGTTTAAGGCTCAACCCTACTCAGTATAACTAAGTTTTCTCAAAGTCAAAGCTAAAGGGGCCTTGACTACTCTGTTTCCCTGTTAGGGTTCAGAATAATTTTTTGAGAAATTTGGAAAGCCAGGAGACTTTCTGAGTGGCAAAGTGTTTTATATCTGCACCACCCAATACAATAGCTATGGTTACTGAGCGCTAGAAACAGGACCGGTGCAACTGAGGAACTAAATTTTCCATTAGATTTTATTCCAATGAGCTAAACTAGAAATAGCCACAAGTGGCTGATGGCTACCATCCTGGACAGCTCAACACTGAGGCACATCTGGTAGTTCCACCTTAGCAGGAGGAATGCTGAGCTTTACAAATGGAATGGGTGTTATTACACCAACCCTGTGACAGACTATCTACCATACTGTCTGGCCAGTCCATTTGGTAGTGTGTGGCTTCCTCAACCCTCTTCCTGGGCTCCACACATACAGCATGACATCATGACTACAGAAGTCTAAGGGTGGCTTTGGGAGAGTGCCGCAAAGGTGGCTGCCACACTAGGTTCACCCTTTACCTCCACCATCTCGTTCAATCACAGAAGGTTGGAATCACTAATCTGAATGTGCAGCTAAGGGAACAAGCTCAGACAGACAAGGTTAATGGCCCTAGATCACAGAACAAGCAACCCTACCATCTCACCCACTCTACAGGGCCCTGGAACCTCCTTCCCTTATTGCAAGTATAGTCTTACAGCAGGTCAGGCCAGAGCATAACTCACTGCAGTGCACCTGGAACACTGTCTAAATTTCCTGTACATCAGCATCCTTCTCAGTTAACAAAAAACGGCACCATTGCAGTATTAAGGGGAACATTTAGCTAAAGTTTTTCTGGGACCTTCTTAGTTGAGATTCATGTTTCTATCAGGCCTTACCTGCTAAGACAAGCAGAGTGAATCTCCAAGGATGCTAAAGTCCTATGTGTTTGTGAGAGAGAGCTAAAGGGAGACACCATGAGAGGAGAGAGAGAGAAAATGAGGACATGCTGAGATGAATGAATATGATGAATGAGTTCTTGAACATACTTAGCATTCTGCTATAACTCACATCAAAGTAGAATTTGGAGATTTGGAACCAGAGGGAACACTAGAAATAAATGTTGTCCATCCCAACATCTTACAACTAGCCAAGAGCTGTAT